TTACAATATATTTTTATATTGAAAAAATTTGGAGATAATATGAAATTTAATTTTTATGAATAAAAAATTTAATTTTTCTGTTAAATATATGTAAAAAATATATGTATTTAATAATTTTACTTATTATTATATAAAAAAACATAAGATAATTATGTATAAAAGTTGATAATATTTTTGATATCTATGAATGCATAAAATAAAAATATATCATAATATTTAAATATACTATAATTTATCAAGATAATAAATGAAAATTATATTATTGAAAAAATTTGAAGAAAATTTCTTAATTTAATGCAGATATTAAAGTGCCGCAGAAAATTACATGCGCTTGAAACTTGTTCATTTTTATTTTTTTATTATTTATTTGTTATACTAGAACTATACTAGAACTATAGTGGTTCATGAAAATATTTAAGAGTTATTTTACAAGAAAATTCATCTAATTCGAAAATTCTGATTTTAATGAAAATTTATACATTATAAAAAAAATATATTACATAGAACAATTTTTTTGTTGATGAGAAATATCTTTCAGAAGATGAAATCAATTCCTAAAGTTTCAAAATTGTCAAGTTTCATATACAATTTTGTTTGAAAATTTTTTTTATATTTTCCTTTATTAAAGTGATACTTCGATAAAAAAATTGCTTCATATCCAATCCATTGTACTCTGCACAATCAGAAAATTCTATTAAAAATAAAAAATTGCCAAAAATCAATTTATATTTCAATAAAAAATAAAAAATCTTCGAATATTTTTTTGAGCTATTGTAAAAAAATGACAATGCAGAGGAAAATAGTCAAATATAGAATAAATATGGAATATATATATTGTTTTTCGAATTCTTGCAAATCAATTGCAAGAAATAAAAGATTTTTGTAGTTTAATCACATATTTATGTTATATAAAATTTTATTTTCATTTTAAAATAATTTAAGTTTATAACATTATAAATAATTATCAATATTAAAGAAAGATAAATTGAATTAAATGAAATAACTATCTAAATATAGAATACTAATAATAAATAACAATATTTTCATAAAAAACAAACAAAAAATTCTTCTTTTTATTACAACATTTATTACAAAATTTTAGTTATATGTTACATTTAATAATATTTAATAAAATGAAATTAAATAAAAAATAGTTATTTGTAATAAATATATTAAACTTTGCACCAGCTAGTTGTTAGAGTTAACGTACATATTAGACACATGATCTATGTTTGTTCGGACCATTTTTATGGCTTCAACTGTTTTTTCTTCATTCCATAGCTTTTGCTAATGCTTCGTTGCACTGGATTTCTAATAATAAATAAACTATAACAAAAAAATGTAATGTAATTAATTAATTAATGTAATTAATTAATAGAATTATAAACACATCAATATTTTATTAAAAAAAATATATGTAATTTTATAAATATTTTATATTAAATATATTTGAGAACTTTAATTTTCAACGTTTCTAATTTTTTCGATTGATAAATCACAGCAATGCACAATTCCAAATTGAGTGGAGCAATTCATAACTAATATGAATTCATACTAATATATAATAATATTTGTCAAATATTCTTTTAAGATTCTTTTAAGATTCTTAACCATTTTACATTATTATATATTATTTCATATTATATATTATTTCATATTATTTACTTTCCTCTATTATTTTTATTTAAGAATCTCCATTTAGCAATCATTTTATCATCTTCTCTATCTATCTATCAAGTAGTTATTCATGATTCGATATTGTTTTCCCGTTTACACGAATGCTAATCTATAGTGTAATTTGTAAGTGAAAAATGCACGAGTTGCCAGCTTGATATTCAAGTGGAAAATCCATTGAGTTAATCCTAATCCCAGCACCGATGAGTGGTTCACCTGGACTGATCAGACTACCTGCATAACGATCGTTGAAAATCGGATTAAATGCTGTCAGGTATAGGCTTGAATTTACATCCAGCGGTTATCTCGTTGAATTGCAACGTACTTTCCTCTAATGGCCTTTCGCGAAATACGCGAATCAATCAATCGCTTGCCAACTCGCAATGTAGCACTCGGAAATGACGAGCACAACACTTCGTTGTCCTTTAATACCGCTTAAATTCTTATTTGCTTCATGATAAATTAACCGTATTTTCCTTTCCAACCTTCGTTTTCATTCCATAATCTTTCGCGATAATTGTTTTCAATCGAGGAATCATTCATTTAAGATGTAATTTAGAAAATGTTAATTCCTATTGCGTTTAAGGTTAAGTTAGATTATTGCCATTGTGGTTTCTAGAAGATTATCATTTTTATATATGGAGTGTTTATTAATTAAGAGGTAATTTATGCTAAATGTTAATAAAAATATTCAAATAATATATTATTTATAATTAAATAATATTAAAAATGAATGTAATAGCTAATATATATATATTAGGTATTTTTAACATCTATTGTTTATTTATGACTGTTTCAATCTAACTTAGTTCGATCAAATTGTTTATTTTTATCTTTCTTAGTTTGAGAATTCTTAAGATTGAAGAAAATATGTAAGATTGTTATTAATATATATATATATATATACATATAATATATAGAATTGTTTGTATTTTCAAAACAAAGTTGAAATATACGAATTAAAAATTAATTTAAATTAAAAAAATGATTATTCTGTATAAATTTGAAAATAATAAATCATTCGTGCAGATTGACAAATCATCTTTTTTTTAAGTATAAAAAAAAAAAAGAATTTTAAATAACTTAGATGATTATAGTTTTTCTTTGTAAAATAATTAATGTAATTATGAATGGCGTCCAAGTTGATTCCAAGTATCATACCATTGTGCGAAACATGGAAATTTTATTATGGCGCAGATGCATAGCAAATGGAGCAGTCTTGAAACTTAAAGTAAGCTGCACGACAATATTAATAGCTTTTTAATGTCAGGGAAAATATGATTACCGCAACTCTCCTAATATACATTAACGCGAACCCGATGTGCGATAAATTAAGTTATTTAAATTATATTCTAGAGCGTGCTAGGTATCTAATTTTGTACCTTTCAACGATAGGCGAAGGCGTATTTTGTCTTTCCTTTTAATCTCACTCGCCCTTCCATCATTTTATTTCTCTTCGCAGCACGAAGACAATTTTCTTCTATCTCATCTTGTGCTTCGTTTGAATCGTCATTGGAATATGATGACATTTTTATTGATTTTGACGAGTATAATATAATTCTCATTTTGAAAATATCTTAAAATCTATATTTACATTATAAATATAGATTTTGATATAATAACATCTTTATATAATACATCACATACTTTGCCGATAAGAATAGAACAGCTATTGAGATTGTGTTTGCTGCTCTTATGTTAAGTATGCTTTCCTAATTAGTTGGTAATCTTTGATGTATATATAGTAAGTAAATAAAGTTAAGTATCTTTAATAGATCTTAATGTATTCGCTTCTTATTCCATTTTGAATATTATTTTTAATTTATTAAGTAATTATTAAGTAGTAAGTATTTTTAATATTTTAATTATATTTTTTTAGTATTTTATTTAATATATTAAGTATATTATTTTATATATATATTATATTATTTATATATATATTTTAAGTATTTTTTTAATATTTGGATGATTTGGAGAAATATATTTACCTGTTATAATTGAATAACAGATCATAGTAAAATATTTCTCTTATTACATTATTTATTTCTTAAATGACATATTATGTATTAAATTTAATGCATTTATAATAAAAAAAAAGAAAAAGAAATTGTAAATATTATTATATAATATAATATTAAAAATATTATGTATATAAATATACATTTATTCGTATTATAAATATTAATATATAAGGCATTAAAAGAAGTATAAGTAGTATAAGTCAATATATACGACTCTGTCAGTCAGTTAAATCTCTTAAAAATAATCTTTTTTAATGATCTTATAAATAAAATATTTTTTTTGTGTATTTCATTTATAAATAAATTTTATATATTTTCTTCTTATTATGGATTGAAATTTAAAATTATTTATTTTAATATTTCTGTTTGTCTCTCTCTCTCTCTCTCTCTCTTTCTTTCTTATTTTTGATATTATTTTTTATGAGTTTTCAGAGATATTTGGGATAAAATTTTTTAGATCTTAAAAATGAAACGTTTTAATTTCTGAAGATAAAGCGTTCAATTGAGATAGTTCATCTAGTACTTTTTTAGCCTGTGCCGTGGCCAATAAAAAAGATAAACCATTCGATAGTTCTTGCCAAGTTTTTTTCACTTATCCTGTACGAGATTTAAATTCAGTTTATCTCATAAAATATGAGAATAATATTTTCAGAAAAATGTTGTCAACATTCTCTACCGGAAAGTTACGGATAAAAATCGATGATATAAAATCATATTATATTACAAACACACCATAAATATTATAAATAATAAATTGATAGATTTGTCTATTTTTAATTAGTTATATATATTCAATTAATTGTCTGTTTTATAGTTATGTATGTTATACTATATGTTAATATCTAATAAATTTATAACTTAATTTATATTTTATCAGATCATTTTACAAAATATGCACATGCACTTGTTTAAGAGACAAATAATTATAGGATTATACATATAAGAGATTCTAACTATTATGTGGATTATCTTTTGATAATACATTATAATATAATGATGCAATATAAATAGATATTATAAAATATTTACTTTATATATATTTATATAAATATTTATATAAATTTGAGGTTTCATTATTATTTTATTGTACAATACATATTGTTAAATATACATTCCGATGTTATATTGTTATATTTCATTGAATATGTAAGATCAATGAAATATCTTCATAAAGTGAAGATATCGATACAACCAATATCATTGCAACGCTATTTAAAGGCATTGGAATTCGTGCATTTCATAGATACTTCAATACATTCCACGGTTAGATTGATCGCACACCCATCATACCAATACAATCTGGAATCATGACAATTCAGATAATTGGAGAAATACTCTATATCTGTTGCCTATCTCTCTTGTCTATGAATCTCGTCTAATATTATTGAGATAGATATTAGATATATAGAACAGTTATTATTTCCAATCTAAATGTATATTCATTTTTGAAATTTTATTGAAACTTTTCTCTATAATATATCTTTACAAATATATAAGTATATTGTTTCGTGTATATAATTATTAATTACTGTAAATATAATAAACTGCATAGATTAATACTATAGGAAACATAAGATTTTATTTCTAAATAAAGGTGGATATTTATATGCAACGATATAATATAAATATTTATAAAACCAATTTAATTATTCTATTTATCTGAAAATATAGTTTGCTTTTACATAATATACAGCGATATATACGTATACAGGATGTTATAATATATTCATCAAAATGGAAGTTTAATTTAAATCAATAGAGGTTAAAAATATTGATTAAGACTTATTTATTAATTTTACTAGATAAAATAAGACTGTATTATTTTTGTTATTGCATTGTGTTTCATCTAACGCAAAGTTTCAATTGCTTATAATTTATAATAAATCCATATTTTTATCTTATATTGTATTGTACCAATTTTTGTATTCGTTTTAGAATTGATTGATCCAAAAATGCCTCACCAATAATATTAAAACTTTGTACATATTGCGAATGTTTTTAGCCACATAGTCATAGTGTGAAGCACAGTCCTCAAGAATATCGGGGATATCGATTTAATACTGGAGGAGCGAGAAGCGTTTCCGGCACTCTGTATCTAATGTCATGTTTCTTAGATTGTTTCTGCCTATTGTATATCGTTGAATATCGTTACGATTAAATTAATTATTGTAAATAAATAAATAGTTAAGGAGCTATTGTGTAACAATATTTATTACATTTATTTCAATAACGAATTTATTTCAATATACGAATCAATATATTATCCATCGTATTTTTACATTTATAATATTCGTTTTGCCTTAAATAACAAAATTTTCTTTTGTTATTTTTTATCCAACAGTCTACGCAATATGACATTGTCTTCTTAATTGTTTGAAATTATCTTTTAAATATTAACTATAAAAATATATTATTATTTTCAAAAAGAATCAATACAATCAGTATTTAATATTTTAAAACGATTATATTTTTAAATATAAGTTGATATGAGTTTTTTCCATTCTCGAGATAAAATATGCGTTTTTTTATTATGAAACTTATGAATTTCTACAAAATTACAATTTGAAACGCAAATTGTTAAAAATCTCTAGAAATTAACGCATTGTACGCATTTCACAGATTCGTGGTCCGCGGTTAGTGTACCCGAGCGGGGGCTCGAGGGGGACTAGTGCGTCGGTCATAGTGGAGGAGACAGGGGTTCACGATGCCCCCCATAATAGGGGAAACGTTGCGTGTATGGTTCCTCTCGGCGTTGGTGGTTCATGGTGCTGTCGCTGGCAATCCGGACGCGAAACGCCTTTACGACGACTTGCTCTCTAACTATAACAAACTAGTGCGCCCTGTTGTGAATACCTCGGACGTGCTACGCGTGTGCATCAAGTTAAAACTCTCCCAGCTCATCGACGTGGTGAGTAAAAATCTTATTCTTAAGGCATCGATTCAAGTAATTGGATTTAATTTATGGCTCGCACAATTTAACATCAGCGTTATAACTTAGAAATTGGACAAGGATTGAAAAATTAAATCGATTAAAAGGAATAAAGTTTGTTTAAATAATAATAAATTATTCAGCATAATTTTATTTTCAAATTTAATTATTCGTTAAAATTTTGTTACCATCTCTACGTATATGAGCTATCGATTTAAATCCATCGATGCATCGATCGTAACGTTCGATGTATATAGCCTTTACTAGTTTTATTCGTAGCTTGTGGTTTCTATAAGTAGAATAATATCGCGCATTAGTGTCTGTGCAATTAATTTCTCCATAATGATATCGAAGAAGTGAGTGTTTACTTCTTCTCAGAGTAAAGAAAAATTGGAAGAAAGTTTCCTGTCGGCTGATATGCAATTTATCATGCATATAATCGGTCGCCAACGAGAGGAAACGAGGAATCGTGACGATGTCCTGTGGTTAAAATCGTACATAACATTTCCGTATTTGGGTTAAAATGGATAGATACGATTATTCGATTACACGGTTATTATGTCATCACTCATCGAAATGAATTTAGTCGTTGATTGTATGATGTCTGGTCAGTGAAGACTAACTAAATATTGAAAATTGATTGGAAATTACGTGACGTTATCCATTATTGCGTAATTTTTTTTTTTTTCAAATAGATTCCTTCGTAACTTTTTACATATTTAGGTTCTGATGATGTTGAATACGTGATGAATAATTGTTCCTTTTTTATTAATTATTTTATAAAATGTACTGGATTCGTAGAATTTGTTGTTATATATATATTTATTGAAATTATTTAAGCCGTTGTATTTTGTTATTATTATTATTAACAAATTCATTAACATATATCTTTTTTAACGAATATTGTTTATTAATTTTTATGAAATTTTGTTTTGTATTTAATTATGAATAATTATGCATATTGAAAAGAAGAATTAACTATATTTTCATACTTTCTTATTTTTTTTATATCGTGTAAAATTAAAAATAAAAAATAATCAAATTATTAATATAATAAAATTAATCAAATTAATGTATTCAATAATGTATTTCATTCTAATAACAATAATATATTTATTAAATTTTAATATTGAAAACGAAATTAAAGTACAGTAAAATATTTTATTATTATTTTCATTGAATCAATATATCGCTATAAATTAAAATAATAAATAAATAAATAATTATAATGATGATATTAATGAAAAAGATATTCTTAATATTAATAACGTCATTTATACCGATTTTTTATTCAATCTTATTGTCAATTTCCATTATACTTTTATTTCTTGTTGGAGAAATTAAATTCGCAGATTATCTAGATTGCATGATCTCTAGTATTCATTTCGTAATAATTTTCCACTTGAATACGATTTTCATAATTCACGAGGATGAAATGCTGCATACCAGAGGTTTTATCGGGGTTTAATCGACAGGGGGAAGTCAACCTATTTACTTTTCTCGATACAAAATCACGAATCTTCAAGATTTAGATACTTTCACTGATGAATTGGTCATAATTTTTCGACGAAAAATGTCGGAAAATACTTATAATAAATATTAAATATAAGTTTATATAAAAAATAGAATTATCTTTAATAATAAATAAAAATATATAAAATGTTTAAATCGATCTTAAATATCTCGAGAATTATCGATAATAGTTCTGTAGAATATTTTAGATAAAAATCTAATTGTTTTAAAGGACAAATAATTTGATGTAAAAGATTTTTTTTTATGTAATTTTTTATGTAAATTTATAGACGATATTTGGATGTCAATTTTATATTTTTAAATACTATCTTAACGTTTTAATTAAATGTAATTTTTTAATTAATAACACATGAATGAATGACTTCGTAATTTTTTATAAACATTGACTGACTGTATCGATTCATTGATTTAAAAAGATAAAATTGATGCTCAAATGTTCTATATATGTCGAAAATATCTTTTACATCAAATTATACGTCTCTTTAAATCATTAAATTTTTATCTAAAATATTTTTTAATATTTTCATTAACAATTTCTGAGATATTTGAATGAATTGATTTAAATGAATTTTTCTTATACTGTTATTTCTACTATCAATTAATAACATATTAAATAAATTAATAACATAATAACATAATAAATAAATTAATAAAAATTAATAACATAATAATATAAATAAATTATCGTATCAAGTATATCATACATCAATTATATTATTGTATAAATTTAAATTTATTTTTCCAGCTAAACTAGATAGAATAATACAAATAAAAATAAGAAAAAAATTGTTATATAAAATTTTCTATTAAGCAACATTTTAATATGCATACAGCAATAATATTTTTTTCTATTTTTTCTCTGTATGTAGATTATACTTCTATAATTGATTGAAAATAACTATTATTATAGATTAGAAAAACAAATAACAATCAAAACAAATAAATAATTACATTTGTTTTAATAATACTTGCAAAATTAATTTCACAGATTAACCAAATTAATGTTAACGAATTAATATTCGATTATTTTAACATAAAACGTGTTAATTTATTAAACGATCAATATAATGCTGAAAAAATTTAATGGTTTCTCGATGCTATCGTTGACAAAGAGTATCTCGAGAAACATTGAATGCGTCGAAAGGAAAATAAATTGCGGATCAAAGAAGAATTACGATCCTTTTATGAAGTACTAAGTTTGAAGGAAGTCGCAGAATTATTTCCATTAGCATGTGCCGGTTATTCGGATGGCGTGGCAGCAAATTGCGTGGCTGTATGCCACATATATACGTGTAAATTCTACAGCTAGATTGCGTGGTTTCTGCTTGCTATTACGTCGATTTGAGGAAAGCATTCGCATGAGTTCTGATAGCTTTCCTTGGAATTTTCCTTCCCCTTTTCTTCAAACTTTGTGTTAAATTATCCGATTTTTATGCGCAACTTCAACATTTAAAATTCTCGAAACGATATAGTAATGTATAAACAAGAAATTGATGTGATGTTTAATAAGGAAATTATGTTACTTCGTTTTTATATTTTTTTAAAGTATAATATTAATGAAATAGATTTTATGCAAGTGTACAAAATTCAATTTTCTGTACAATAGATGATTTATACGAAATTTTAGAATTTTTGTCACATATATCTGCTATATTTTTCTATTTTCATATTTTTTTGAAGAATAAAGCCAATCGATCATTTCTAACTATCATTTCTATCTGTCCAAACAATGTACGTATTAAAATCATTTTTATCATTTGTTTTATAATTTATTGTATTTTAACAGAAAATAGGTAAAGAAACGAAATTTGAAAAAGAAATGTTTTATTATTAGACAATTCTAAAAAGGGGTTTTTTATTTTGTATATATTTTTGGGATATTTCGCTCATATTAATGTAAATAAATTTTATTAAAATTAATTTTAAAATTTTATCAATTGTAACAAAAATTTGGAAAAAAAATGTGAATTTATTAAATTAATCATAGATATAAGTAAAAATTTAGAATTTCTGTTCCACATTTAAAAAATTAAAATGAAATATAAAAATGTAATTAACAATGTTTGCAAAATTTTCAGTTATTGATGAAAAAGAAAATTATCACGATATTGGAAAGAATAAAGTATACATTTATTATGCTCTGAACGAACATTTTACAAATTAATTTTTTCGGATAAAATATAACAATTTATTATTAAAAATATAGAAAAAATTATAATTAGCTATTGTAATACAAATAATAAATAATATCAGTAAAATAATTTATATATTTTATATTACATCTTATTTTTATATATATATTTGAATATATTTTCACATATATCTTCAAATTTTGAAATGTTATAATTACATAAACAATTTATTAATATTTAATATTCTTTTAACACTTAATTTGCATATCTCCATTTCGCTGTCAAAGTGTATAAAATTCAATTTTCTGTACAATAGATGATTTATATGAAATTTTAGAATTTTTGTCACATGTATCTGCTATATGTTTCTATTTTCATATTTTTTTGGAGAATAAAGCCAATCGATTATTTCTATCTATCCATCGAAACAATGTATGTATTAAAATCATTTCTATCATTTGTTTTATAGTTTTATGATTTTTGAATAGAATTTGTATGTTATTCATACATTTTTAAATTGATTAAATATAAGTTAAACATGTTAAAAAATGCGAAAAGTTTTATATTCCTCCCATAGAGAAATTGGTAGTTCACTCTAAAGTTTCACGACTTTGTATTTCAAGTTTTGTAGAAGTTTCTTCGCAGTATGTATTATCATCTAAAATTTACATATTTCTCTACTTTGACGAACTTTCACAATAACATTTGATTTATATGAATTTAAATAACAGTGAAAATTTATAATAATAAAATTCGAAACAAAAGAAAAATTGTTAAGGAAAGTTTTATTATAAATTTATTTTTAAAAAATGTTTATAGTTCAGATGCTCTATTAAATTTTCCACTTATAAAATAATTATTGATGCATCATTAACTAGCTTTAGTTTGATTAGAAATGAATATTGTTTCGACCTTAAAAGCAGCTGATTTATTAAATTATTATATTTATTCAGTATACTTTGGAATTATTATTAATGAAATCATATAATAGATTGAAATTATTGTTTTATTATATTTTATGGTAAATATTTGGAATTCATTTTTATATATATAAGTAGAAAGAACCCAAATTTCTAAAATATATATTTATATACATATGTGTTCTTTTTTAACAATTTTTTTTTTGATAATTTTCAAAAATGAAATTTAATCAATTATTATTATTATTATTGTTATTTCATAAGAAAACAAATATATAAACGTAACATATAACATATAACATTGTTTTAGTTATTTATTATAATTTTTATTATTTTATAATTTAATTTATTAATTTATAATTTATTAATTTATTATTTTTAAGATTGTTTTAAG